TAAAATTAACCTTTATTCAAATTTTACCCACTATGTGGACTGCTAAACAGAGCAGATGTACCTTAGTTTGCTAATCCTAATTCATAGTAAGCAATTCCAACCCATTCTTTCCCAATGGAAGGTTTAGAATAAAGCTCCCATGTGTCTGCGAATCTTTTCCCATCATAAGACAACAAGGCAGCTTTTTTCTATCAGTATTACTATAACCCATACCAGAAACCTGTAGGCAAAACAAAGACCATTGTTCTCAGCATCTATGTCTCTCTCTCTCTCTGTATCTGTCATTCATTCATTCACATTTCTAAACTGCCCATCTCTCTCAAAGAGGGATTCTTGCTGCTGTCTGTATTCTTATTTGTTATTAATCTGTTTATTAATAGAACAGTCAAATTGGCTAAACAGTTTAAAACTCATTGAATAATCTCATAAAATCAATAAAAAAAAATACTGTTAAACCAGAGGAAAAGAAAAAGGCATGGCTGTAAAGGAAAGTCAACTCATTTTCTAAGGGGAAGGTTGGAAGCCGAACACAAATTCCAAGGGGTATTTCAGCGTCTGAGCAATATAGGGGAATACCTTCTCTTTTATTTTATGCTTGACAAACAGACCTCAATAAGTGAAAGCATCTTTAAAGGAGTTTTTCTGTTGATAATAATCTCTGGACAAGTGGATATATTGAGATCCATCCCACTGAGTCCAATGGAATGAGCAAATTCTGAGTACCTTCTAATGCAGCCCAAGAAATCATTCTCTGATGCAGTGCCCACCTAATGGAATAGCATTCCCCTGGGATCTGGATAGCCCTGATCCTATCTGCCTTCTGGAAAACTTTGAAGACCAGGCTTGTTTTGATGTACTTGGCAAGGCTGTTAATAGAGACCGATATGCATAGTTTGACTGGATTATTCTTTTTGTTCTTTTTATTAGCTCAGCTTTGTGTAATATTGTTTATTTCTTGATTTTATGTTTTGCTTAGTGAGTTGCCCAGAGAATAAGATGGACAGCTATATAAATTGTATAAACAAAGTTTCTTGAAATAATTGCCAATAAATGATTCTTGAAGTAATTGGCAACTACTTTTTTAGTAGTCCTGAGTGCAATTTCTATAGAAAGACAGGATAGAAAACCAGTGAAAGAGCTAATAAATAATCTCTGCCTTCTGAATGCCAAAGATAAAGATTTATATTTTTATAAATACTGACTGTAGGTTCCCTGGCATTTTATCCCCTGCCCTTATAAAAATATTTGAAGATATTTAATCAAATATATGTCTATTATTCCTTCTTTTTGGTTTCTCCTTTTCTGCAGCTTTTCCAGTTAGGAAAGATTTTTGAGATGAAACTATCATACTTGTACATAGCATACTTGTACAATGCAACTGTATTGCCAAACTTTATAACACTGTGAATAAAATTCACAGTGCTGCTGATTGTAAACTTTTACCAAAGTTTCAAAGGAGTAGACAATAAGCATAAGAACCTCATTCTAGTATATACTAACTGAAAGAAAACAAACTTAAACTATGGTTATTTTAGGCTATATTGATTTTGGCTAGTTGTAGAATTGTTTAATTCTAGAAACATTTTCCTCAAGGCAGCCCAAAATAATATTTTTTGGTATGTGCTATCATGAGTTTATTTCAGAGAGAAAATATGTCTTCTTGATTGCTCATCAGTCCATTTTATGATAATAGCTCACCTGAATCACCTTTCTCAAGTTTACAGAAAGTCCTTGTTAAAAAAATATATCTCATAATTATCTTATTTTCATTGCTTCATCATAAAATTTTATGTAGGCCAATGCCTGATAGGAGCCATGTACAACTCCAGACCAATCTTTAAGTTTACTATTTTTTTTCTCAGATCAGTTCATCTATTTTATTTATTTATTTATTTATTATTTGGTTTGCCAATTGCTTAAAAGATAATAGGTACAAGTAAAAACATAGTTATGAATACATGGATACATATAAGAAAAAAAATAAAAAATAAAAGAAACAATAGGACAGGGATGGTAGGCACGTTGGTGCGCTTATGCACGCCCTCTACAGGTCTCTTAGAAAAGGGGTGAGGTCAATAGTAGACAGTCTAAGGTTAAAGTTTTTGGGGTTTAGGGAAGAAACCACAGAGTCAGGTAGAGTATTCCAGACATTGACCACTCTGTTGCTGAAGTCATATTTCCTGCAATCAAGTTTGGTGCGATTAACCTTGAATTTGTATCTATTGTTTGCTCTTGTATTGTTATGGTTGAAGCTGAAGTATTCATTGACAGGTAGGACATTGCAATGTATGATTTTATATACTATACTTAGATCGGACTGAAGGCGGCATAGTTCTAGGTTTTCTAGGTCTAGAATTTCAAGTCTGGTGGCATAAGGTATTCTACAATGAGTAGAGGAGTGGAGAACTCTTCTTGTGAAATATTTCTGGACTCTCTCAACTGTGTTAATATCAGATACGTAATGTGGGTTCCAGACTGATGAGCTGTATTCGAGTATTGGTCTAGCAAATGTTTTGTATGCTCTAGTTATTAGTGTAATATTACCAGAGAAAAAGCTACGTAAGATTAGGTTAACAACTCTTAACGCCTTTTTGGCTATGTAGTTACAGTGGGCTCTAGCACTAAGGTCATTTGAGATGAGTACTCCAAGATCCTTGACAGAGTTTGGATCATCAACAAGGTCTTGACTATTCAGCCTGTATTTTATTTTCTGATTTTTTTTGCCAATATGTAAGACAGAGCATTTATTTGTTGAGATTTGAAGTTGCCATTTGTTTGACCATTCTGATAGTTCTGAACAGAGCAGCTTCTTACTATTAAAGAGTCAAAGGATTTGAACTATTTATGTAGATGTCAGAAATATAAGAACTGTTCTGCATCTACTTAATCTTTCTCTTTTTGAGGCATAAATTATCAGGCTTCACATCTTTCTCTGCGCATATGGTCTCCTGGCAAAGCATCGGCTTCAGGGCACTTTAATAGAGCAAATGTTCAGAAAGAAGAACATGTTCCTGACACTGGGAAATTTTAGAAATCAGGAAATAATCATGCCTTAGCTACTGCTGTCATCTGCTGTGATGATGATCCTAGTGAAGTGGGCTCTATTAATATTCTGCTCTCTGGGTTTCTCATTTCGTCTAACAAAGGCTCTGATTATTGATTCTTGTAGACCTTTTAAAGAACAATTAGATATCTCAATTTAAGCTGTTACTATTGCTTTGGGATCACTTCCTTGGTGCCTCATTTTTCTCATAGCTTTCATTGCAATATAAGAGATAATTTTAATCATGGAGTGGTCACAGACATGTTCTTCATATGAGTCAATATTAATAGGTAGCTTCCCAAAAATCTATATAACCACTTACTATTCCTGTGGATATCCTCTTTAAAATGCCATCAAAATGTAACATTGGAAAAGTTTTTGGAACCATAGCATCTGCAATTCATTCTAATTCCAAACCATAGAAGTTTTTGCTGCACCATCCTTATAATATTCAGATTCATTAGAAATAACTGCGGGCAAAGCCATTACAAATGAAGGAGGTAGAACAGGTGGCTGTCTAGCACTTAAATTTAACAATTAATTCATGCTGCAACTAGTAATTTATGGAAAGCCATCTGTGAATCCTTAAATGGTCACTGTGCATCTGTAAGGACTAAAGAAATGACACAACAGAATGCTTTTCTTTCACAAAATAGCTCATATGCCTTTGGATGGTGGGTGGAAAGTAGTGCTAATTGCCTCATCAGGTTTGGAAATATTTTGTGTACCTGAAGTTAAAGAAGCTGGCCTTGGCCCAGAAAGCTTAGGAAGGAGACATCTGGGAATCATATATTATATGTTATAAGGACCTAAGAGGGGGCCAGGAAATAAAAATTAAGCAGGTAATATAGACTTGATAATTCTGAAATTGGGGGAAAAGAAAAGAAACCAGGCAATAGATTGAAGCAGGCTGGACAAAAATTATTCAAAAATAAATATTTTGTCATAATCTGATTAAAATACTATGGAAATTTAATAGACTTTTACTCAGCAAATTATGAAACTTAAGACAAATGTGTGAACATTTTGTTGTGGTTCTGACAGGAAGAAAGAATCAGAAAGGAGCAACATTTTGCAAAAAAACAAACAAACTTTGTATCTAGGCATAGCATGTCTCAGCTGTCACCTTATCTCATATTATTGAATTATTGTAAAGCTAAAAAGGTAGAAAAGATCCATTGATATAATATGAACTCCTTGGAAAAAAGGCAGGATTATACAAAAATAGAAAGCATTCTATTTTTACTTGCCTGAAACATTAAGCTCCAATCTTAAACCCACTTAAACAGGATGCCCTATTAACTATACTGAACAGAGAGCTGTATCTCAGCAAATATTGTATGTGTAGAATTCTACTCTTTGGCAACCAGAAATCCAATCTAACAAACAAAATCCTTATGTAGATTAACTAAAAAGGAACAAAAAATTAGCATTCGGGAGAAGTTGTTTCTGTATTTTGTCCATTCATCTCACACATCTAAGAGAGTTATATATTAATCACAGAAATTATCCAAATATCCAAATATAATTTCCATAAGTTCATTCAAACTCTGAGAAGTGATTTGCTTGAGCCCTTTGATCCATTTTTATCAGCTGCTTCTAAGCATTCATGACAATTTTCTTTTGATTTTGCACCAATGTTTGGGGAACATCTGGTTCTGGCAGATTCTCACACAAAAAGGGTCTTTTGTCTTCCATTCAGTTAAATTCTAGGCGGCCCCTCCAAATGTGATAATTTTAATTATTATATGGCAATATCATGCCATTAAGCATTTCGCCTTAGCTGGAGGACTTTTCTTGTAAGCCTTCAAAAACCAAAAGTATATATAATAGCAATGTTCAATGTTGTTCTCAGACCTATAACCATATTTTTTTTTTTAAAAAAAAAGCATTGTAAAGTTATTTCTGACTTTTTCAGAGCATTTATTTGTATAATGATGTTGCTGTTTTTGACATGATGCATAGTAAGGTAAGCTGTCTATTAATTTACCTGTTAAAAGGCAACATATTTTAAAGCCCAAATTACTTTACCCATGAAGCAAGGATGGCAACCTAGAGTTTCAGAGCTCTTTGGAAGTTCATTCTGATCACAGTTGCTGAATATTGCTCTCTCACTATTGTGAAGATGAAAAAACACATACACACAATCTAAGCCTTAAAAGAAAAACAAAGAAAACTCTAAAGATTTCATTCCAAATACAAGGAACACACTGTAGGAAGATAGCACCCTCTCCTAGAAAAATGAAACTTCCTGGGAAATATTAAAAAGGCAGAATATTTCCCCTAAAAAGAGTAAAGTAGAAACTCAGAGAAGCAGAAACTCAGCCCCCCCACACCTTTGCTAATGGGCCATTAAGACCTAGGCCAGAGTATTTTACATAATAAAGGGTCTACTCATCTCACCACCTGGCCTGGGAAGATTGTATCAGCCAACACTCAGGTGAAGCCATGTGGTCCAGACAAAGCTGACAAAGTTAGCTAAGACCTCCGCCCCTGGGAGTCTCACAGCCAATGGGATACATTTCTTACACAGGAACAGGAAACACTAAGGTGGGTCCCAACAGAGGTTATATAAGGGTCTCTCAGCATCTTGGTCATTCCTTCTTGACCTTCTCACCTTGAAGTATGTGACCATCCTTTCTTTTTCACTTTGGAGCTCCAAGCCATGTGGTCCTACTGTCCACCATTAAACCATCTTTCCAAATAGCCTCCATGTTTCCAGTGTCTTTTTCCCCATTTGGAACTGAACCCAGAAGGATATTTCTTTCAACACCTTACAAATTATGCTTCTATTTACTTTTAAGCCTTTTCAACACATATCCCTATCTACTGTGTTCCGAACTAGCAGGCTCGTAAGCCTGAAACTCTAATTGCTTTCCTTCCACGGCAGGCTCGTAATCCTGCACTTTTGATTGGTCCGTGAATAGCCGATCGTGATTGGTCGTTTTAGACTAATCCGATTGGCTAGTTAACGGGTCGCCGCGATTGGACGCCCCAAGCACGGCAAACTCAAATCATTGGATGTTTTGACAGCAGCCAGCTCTATAAAAGGAGCTGCTGCTGCCTGAGTATTTCGCTCTGTTCTGAAGTCACTAATAAAGAGTTGGAGTCACTATTCAATGCCTCATCTCCGTTCTTGCGCCCACTCTCCCAGATCTAACACTGGCGACGAAGGTGGGATGCGGAGACGATAGAGCTGACTGAGCACTCGTGGAACACTAACAGAGCACGTGGCTGAGGGCACACCGATAGCGGCAAGATGACCAGCGGCGCCATTCCACCCGCTCCATTTGATCCAGCTAACGAAGACTGGGACTCGTACATGGACAGGTTTCAAATGTTCCTGGAAAACAATAACCTGAAGGATGCTACGCCTGGCAAGAAACGAGCTGTGTTCCTAACGCATTGCGGACCCGCCGTTTTCAAGATGGCAAAAGCACTCGCCAAACTGGCAGAAGTCAAAACAATGGACTGGGATACCCTTGCTCCCATCCTCAGGGCCCATTATGCCCCAGCGGTGCCAACCCTCATCAGGAGACACGAGTTTTACCAGAGGGACCAACAGGAAAGCGAAAGCGTTGGGGACTTCATAGCGAACCTCAGGAATTTGGGTGGACTCTGTGGTTTCACAAATCTGGAAGAAGCCATGAGAGATCGGGTCGTTCTGGGTTTAAGAGACCTCACCACCCAAAGCAAGATTATGGCAAAGGGGGACATCACCCTCGCAGATGGCATAGCCGATGCTACTGCAACAGAAGCAACCAGGAAGTCAGCAGCCCGAATGCGCCGAGCGAATGGAACCAATCGCCAACTCGCCAGTGATGCTGCTCTTCCCTCAGAGAGACACACAACGACCACCCACCATGAAGACCTCGAATCCTCATCAGAAAGTGAGGAAGAGGAAGTCAATAGACTCAGATCGGAGCGCGATCAGCGAGGCCAGCGGGGTCGTAAGCCCCCGTATCAATGTGCTGGATGTGGGGGAAACCACCCACGGTCAGACTGCAAGTTCCTAGGTGCCCTCTGTCGTTCCTGTGGGAAGAGGGGCCACATTGCAAAAGTCTGCAGGAGCCAGCGAGGATCCAGCCCAAACAGAAGAGAGAATAGTTTCCGGCAGACAACAGGCACCCCACCGTTAAACCGGGACCGCCCAAGCAACCAATGGAACCCCCACAACAGAAATCGAGCACTAGCCACCTCTACCAGACGAGAAGAGGCGCACCAGACCATCACCATTGGCCACGCCTCATCCCTTGATGCAAGGAAAATCTGGGTAAGGGTCACCATTGAAAAACGACCATGTGTTATGGAAGTCGACTCCGGGTCTTCCCTATCAATGGTCTCCTGGAAAACCCTCAAGCAGCTGATCCCTGACATCCGCCGCCAGGATCTCAGCACTCAGAAACTTATATTAAAGGACTACCAGGGAAATCGGATTCCAGTCGCTGGTTCCAGTCACGTCCAAGTCTCATTTAAAAACCACACCGCAACCCTACCTCTCACCGTCGTTGACAAAGACCGACCCAGTTCATTGGGTTTGCAGTGGTTCGCGCCGCTAGGAATCGAGCTGGCAGGCATCAACCAGACTGTAAGCGATGACTGGGAGGTGGCCCTCGTCCGGGACTTCCAAGAAGTCTTCACCGAGCAATTAGGCAAGTACAAGGGGTCCCCTATATCGTTTAATCTCTGCCCTGATATAGCGCCCATTCGCCTTAAGCCTCGTCGAGTGCTCTTTGCGCTCAAACCAAAGATTGACGAACAATTGGACAAGTTAATAGCCCAGGGCGTATTAGAACCCATCGACCACGCCCGATGGGAGACCCCAATTGTAACCCCCATAAAACCAGACGGATCTCTGAGAATCTGTGGGGATTACAAGGCCACCCTGAACCACGCACTACAGCAGAGTGCCTACCCCGTGCCCGTGGTCCAACACCTTCTTCACTCACTCGGGGGCGGAAAGGTATTCGCAAAGCTTGATTTAGCCCAAGCGTACCAGCAGCTACCCGTAGATGCAGAGACCGCAGAAGCCCAAACCATAGTCACACACAGAGGTGCGTTCAAATGTAACAGATTCCAGTTCGGAGTGAGCGTAGCACCTGGCATCTTTCAAAGTTTGATGGAAAGGTTGCTGCAGGGTATAAAAGGGGTTGTACCCTACTTCGATGATGTCTTGATAGCCGCCCCCACAAGAAGTCAACTAGAAAAACGCCTAAGAATGGTCCTTCAAAAATTCAAAGACGCAGGCCTAAAGGTCAAGAAGGAAAAGTGCCAACTATGCACTGAGAGGGTTGAATTTCTTGGTTACCTTCTTGACAAACAAGGAATTCACCCTACTGAAAAAAAATTGGCTGCAATAAAAAACGCCCCAAGACGTAGGAACAAGACAGATCTCCAAGCCTTCCTGGGACTCATTAACTTTTATAACATCTTCCTACCCAAGAAGGCGACTGTTGCTGAACCCCTGCATAGGCTCCTCGACAAGAAGGCTTCCTGGTTCTGGGGACGTCGAGAAGAGCAGGCTTTCCAGCAAGTAAAAGACCTCTTAACATCAGATGCTATATTGATACAATATAACGAGACACTACCATTAACTGTAACCTGCGACGCCTCACCGTTTGGAGTAGGAGCTATCCTGAGCCACGTCCTACCAAATGGTACGGAGGCGCCTATTGCATTTTTTTCAAGAACTTTATCTAAAACTGAGAGAAACTATAGCCAATTAGATAAAGAGGCCCTCGCTATTGTATCTGCAATCAAACGATTTCACGAGTACGTATATGGAAGATCCTTTTCTATAATCACCGATCACAAACCATTGCTTGGCATTTTGGCAGGGGATAAACCAACTCCCCACATCCTATCGCCAAGAATGACACGCTGGTCGGAATTTCTAGCCGCATACGATTACCAATTAAGACATCGACCGGGGAAAGCCATTCCCCATGCTGACGCCTTAAGCCGCTCACCATTACCTGAATTCCTAGACGATCCAGCTCCAACCCTATCCACACTACAAATTGAGACACTTACTTCACCACCACTAACTGCGCAAGACATCGCATCGGAAACAAGGAAGGACCCTTGTTTGGCGCGGGTCCTCAGCTGGGTGGAAAGAGGTTGGCCTGAAATCGAACCCAACGACACATTTAAACCCTTCAAAAACAGACAGACAGAACTTTTCTCCCAAAAAGGGTGCGTGTTGTGGGGAGACAGAGTCATCATTCCAGAAAGGCTACAAAATAAAGTCTTGAAACTACTGCATGATGGACACCCGGGCATCGTACGAATGAAGGCACTAGCAAGGAGCTACGCCTGGTGGCCAGGTATGGACGGTCAAATTGAAACCTGGGTAGCCACCTGTAACACGTTCGGCTCCACCAAAAGCACCACCAACGGAATGGGAGACACGTTCGGCTCCACCAAAAGCACCACCAACGGAATGGGAGATGCCCAGAGGCCCATGGTCCCACATCCACGTCGATTTTGCGGGACCTACCAGAGGACATACCTTTCTAATAACAGTAGATGCCTATTCAAACTGGCTTGAGGTCAACAAAATGAAGAACACCACCACAGAAGCAGTTGTAAAAAAATTGAATAGACTGTTTGCAACACACAGCTTACCAGATGTCTTGGTTTCAGACAACGGCCCACAATTTACCGCTTTGGCGTTCGAACAGTACCTAGCAGACCGAGGGATACGCCACACCTTAACATCGCCGGCTCACCCTGAGGCCAATGGCAGGGCTGAACGAATGGTCCAGTTCACAAAGAAAACATTACACAAAATGGAGCAAGGAAACATCCACGACAAAGTCACCAGGATGCTTCTCCTCCAACATATTACTCCAAACAGCACCACAAACAAAAGCCCAGCCGAACTCCTGATGGGCAGGAGACTTAGATCACATCTCGACCGTCTGCACCCTGCCTACACGCCAGAAAAGCCCCTGGGTTCCAGCAGCAAATGTCGCACATTTAAGGTAGGCGACCCGGTATTCGCAAAAAACTTTACCGGTGACCCATTGTGGGTCCCTGCTAAAATAACACAACTTACGGGCCCCCGTTCCTACCGATTAGAAACCACAGATGGGAGGTTGTGGAAACGCCACATCGACCAACTACGCTCAAGGATGACACCTACCCCCTTCACACACCCTGAACTCCAAACCAGGGGGGGAAGGGAAAGCGAGGGGGTTGAAAATGAACTAACACCTGGTTCAGTACATGAAACCCCGCAGTCTGTACAACAAAACCCAGAATATTCACCAATTGAAGAGGAGCCGTGGCAGATGGTCATCTCTCCGAGAAACAGCCAGCCCAGAGGATCCAGATGACAGCCTTGAAGGGAGTATTGGTGGCACCCCCGAGTCGCCCAGCGTAGAAGTCAGGTCGCCTTTACAGCTGGACACAGCAAACAGCCCACCGGAACCAGAGTCCGGACAAAGACTGGTGGAGCAACGCAAGTCAGGTAGACAGGTGCGACGGCCTGCCTACCTGCGAGAATACATCACCCCACCCTTGAGACGGAACCTAGAGGGGAGGGGTGTTCCGAAATAGCAGGCTCGTAAGCCTGAAACTCTAATTGCTTTCCTTCCACGGCAGGCTCGTAATCCTGCACTTTTGATTGGTCCATGAATAGCCGATCGTGATTGGTCGTTTTAGACTAATCCGATTGGCTAGTTAACGGGTCGCCGCGATTGGGCGCCCCAAGCACGGCAAACTCAAATCATTGGATGTTTTGACAGCAGCCAGCTCTATAAAAGGAGCTGCTGCTGCCTGAGTATTTCGCTCTGTTCTGAAGTCACTAATAAAGAGTTGGAGTCACTATTCGATGCCTCGTCTCCGTTCTTGCGCCCACTCTTCCAGATCTAACATACTGGTCACTGAGACATCATTTTGATGCCATAAATGGCAATAATTGTCTGAAATTCACATGGTAAAGATTCAGGAAAGTGAACAACATGACACTACCTTCTTAAATAACCCCATAGCTGGTGTGGCTGAAATATCCACTTCCTATGTTGAAATTTGAGAGGTCATTTATTTCTCATTGACTTATTAATAATGTTGTTCTGTAGACAAATTAAGAGTTATCAGAGCCCCCAACTTCCCCCTTTGCAATCCACAGCTAAAAATGACAACAGTTTTTCATCATTTTGAACTAGTAAACATATAAAAACTATAGGGTAAATTGTAAAATAAGCATATCACCAGTAAAAAGGGAAGAACTCCCTTTTTATACTCTTTGGATTTCTGCACTTTAATAATAAATACATAAAACAGACTGGGATCACATTGCCATAGTTTTGTGGTGACCACAAGATTTAGTGCTTCACCATTCATATATAATAAGTCTGAGATGACCTGGGATAAGCATATGGAGACTGTGGACCATGAAATTCCAAGTCTGACTAAAATCCTTACCTCATATTTGATGCTCCTCTGAGAGCCTCCTATGCCAGCCTAGATATTATGCTGTAGGAGCTTGAACAGACTTCCACTGGGTGCCATTATCAGTGACAATCATAAGTAATTTCATACAGGATTGTCCAGATTGCCCTGCCAAATTTCTAGACAACTACTGGCTGTCTGTGTGGAGCAGGATACACAACTTGGTTTAAGTTTCAAATCCGATCAACCTCAGCCAAGATGGCATGGAACTGTGGGAGTTGCAGGCTTTGACATCAGAAAAGTATTGCCTATTCTTAGTTTAGACTGTGCAAATATTAACATAGACTAGTGGTTTTCATTAGAACTTGGCAGTTCCCTTGGCCTAAGACCAACTACACAGCCTGTGGATTTTGAACCAAGACTTTTGTGTATTGCCATGAATTTTCAGCTGGTTGATGCCATTCACTGCTATTACTATATATCATCCCTTTGCTGAAAGTTTGATCCTTTCTCTCCCCCAAATCAAGAACATCTTGATATGTACTAAAATATATAGATTTGCTTTTAAATTTGATACTCTCAGACTGCACTAGCCTATGATTTTTAATTATTCCAATAGATTTTTTAAATGATAATTGTTTAATTAATTAAATTTAAATGAATTAAATTTAATTAATTGAGACTTATATAGATGCCCTTTTATGCACCAGAAAAGGGGCAGCTTACAAACAGTAATATTGTAAAATTGTGGAAAGGGAACTTCACGAAGACAGTAGTGTCACTCAAACAGGAAAAGCCAAAGGGGAATATCAGGCCAGCCATAAAACAAACTTACATAGGAAAAGAAATCAAATAAAAGGTATTAAAGAATCCCTATAGACAAAAGCCTAAGTAATTAAAATACATGATCTCATATAGTTTGGATCATGCCCTTGTTTACATGATTGAAGAGCGGATAAGTATATGTGTAAATATAGTTTCTCTAAAAATTGTAAGAGATATCTACAAAAAATTGGCGCAAGTAGACATCTTTAGTTCTGTAACTGAATTTTTCCTTGTGGTCATTGCAGCAGCACAGAATTTTGCCACTCCACACATGGTAGTTGAAGCTTTATAAGAGATAGCAATTCAGGACAAAAGAATAGAATATTGTGTTTGTGTGTATTTTTTAGACTTGCATGGGTACAAGCATATTTACAAACACACAAATTAGCACAGATTATTAAAATGCTGTTAATCTGAAAATCTGAATTCAGATCTTTTTACTATAGCCAGCTATGTCATTATAATCTAAAATATTTTCAATCTCTCATTCATATTTGTTGTGATAGTAATAGTATGTAAGCAGTGAAGGAGCTCTATGTTTTTAATTATACTGTTTTGGAGTTTTGGACATTATTCTTAAATGTATGGTAATGATGGCAAACCATTTTGAGGACCCAAGTGGCAGAAAAGCAATATTTGAACAAATGATAAAACATGCAGTTTGTTATCTCTGCAAAATCTCAGCTTCATGCAGGTAATCTTTTCTCAGTTCCTCGATAGAAGAAGCCATTATAAATCTTTTCTTTTCTTTTCTCTTACAACAGCCAGAATATTCCAAAGGAAAAATAAGACAATCCCAAAGTTCTCAGTCAGTCCAAACCAAGACAGAGTTCCCACTCTCTCCTCCTGGGGTAGTATCAATTAGAGAAAAAGAAAGTCCAAATCTGTTTCTTAAAGTCTTATTGCAATATATTTTAGTCTTTCAATCCTTAAGGCATCTCCTCCAACAAGGTCTTAGCATACAAATATTTTTTTTTAAGTCCTCTCTTTTCCCACTCACCGCTTAGAGCCAGTTTTCACCTAAAAAAAATAAGTTTCTTAATGTTCACTTTTTATTCCGTTAAAAAAAGAGGGTAAGCTATCCTTTCAGCACCATTAAACTGCCGCTTTTTTCCTCTTCTCGAAGGTATCATTCAGAAAGTCATACTTTTCAGGAATTTTGTTAAATATGTCTTAGAGTCCTAGGAACCAAGAAAAACTTTCTCCTCTCAAGCACTTTCTCCACTTCCTCCTGCGCATTCTTACCCGGCTGCCAGCTTCTTTGTGGCGGCCATTACGGACCGCCGCTGCACCGTCCTGGTAAAAGGGGGTTCTGCCGGCTGGGAAGGGGGTCTGCAACACCCCCAAACCCTTCTCCGGATCCCCCCTACCTTCAGCTGCCCCTGCAGGGCAGCCTAGCTCCGTACCCATCTGGGTCGGAGCCCCAAAAACGGCTAGCGTGGCAGGGATCGCGCAGCTCCGCAAATCCCTGCCGCTCGCGAAGCCGACAAACCGGAAACTTCAATATTTTTAATACTTTTCATATCAGCACCATAGTTACAACAAGGAGAATCTAAGTTGCCCGCATCTATACATCCCTTAAACTACATATGCCACCTGGGTAGTTCTAAATGGGTGACAGCAATCAGATGCCGCTGTACTACCATCCTTTGTCATGGCCTCACAGCCATGACAAATAGAAGAGTAAAAAATCAGACACAAATGATGATAGCAATAACAATAGTGCTTAGACTTATATACTGCTTCACTGTGCTTTACAGCCTTCACTAAGCGGTTTACAGAATGGCCCAACAATCTGGGTCATTCAGCATTTCATTGAATATTTCTGACTCAAGTCTGTGACTAGCATCACATGATTTGCTATTTAAGAATAGCATGGAGGGAGGGGCTGATTGAAAATTTTAAATCTGAGTCTCTTCCCTGAAAGGTAAAATAGAGAGAAAAAATAGCAGTGTGAATATTTTATTATTAGTATTAAGAAGCCAACACCAGTTTATTAGTGATGATACTGACAGAATCAAACAAATTCTAGTTCCTTTATATGATTCCCCCTGCCCTGTTCAGCTGAAGGGGGGGGGGGGGAGGGAAGAATTATGTTACCTTGTTTCTCAAAAAATTCTATAAATTGACAATAAATTTTGCCTAAGGTTAAAGATCTGGAGGTTGATTTAAGACTTCAGTTCATCATGGGGATTGTTTATTGCCACAATCTACAGCAGGGCAGGAAAAAAAAAGAAGAAGAATGAAAGCTGCATTGACTGTTTCAAGGAGCCCTGGTTCAGCACTGCTACATCCTATGCAATTTCTTACTGATGAATATGACGCTTGAGCTGAAGACAGTTGCTGAATGCATTAAACATAATATAAGTCAATCTCTGTTTAATTACATACTTAAGATGTGATACTCAGTTATTATCTTTTTGTAACCTGATGACCTTTCTGGGAATTCTTTTCTTCTTCTTCTTCTTCTTCTTTTTCATTCTTTTAAACAATAACCCCTCTCAGCTGTTACTGCATTTGCAGCTGTGCTGGAATGAGACTTTGGAATGTTTTGAATTCCAAAGGCCACCCTATGGAAAGTAGCTTAGCATCCCTACAACTATCAGGATGTCTAGGGTGTGATTATTGGGCCCATTGCAGGAAGGTCCCCAAACACAAAGCCACAGAGAGGTTTCCCCACCTAAGAAATATTTACGAGATGGTCCTTCTTCCCTTGCTCCTCTTCATTTTTCTCCATGGAGGTATTCTGGACAAACAAAAATGCCAGAAATAGCTGCAGACACCTACATACACTTAAGAGTTTAAACAATATCTACATTTTATTTCTAAGTGGCAGGCAGAGCTGCATTCTCAAAACCAGGCAGAGTTAGGACAAGGAAGTAGATCTGAGCAAGAGCAATGCCTT